GTTTTGGGTGATTTTGGGGGGTTTTGGGAGGTTTTTGGGTGGGTTTGGGTGATTTGGGGTGATTTCGGGTGATTTTGGGGGGTTTTGGGTGATTTTGGGGTGATTTCGGGTGATTTTGGGGGGTTTTGGGGTGATTTCGGTGATTTCGGGTGATTTTGGGTGGGTTTGGGTGATTTTGGGTGATTTCGGGTGATTTCAGGTGATTTTGTGTGATTTTGGGGGGTTTTGGGTGATTTTGGGGTGATTTCAGGTGATTTCAGGTGATTTTGGGGGGTTTTGGGTGATTTTGGGATGATTTCGGGTGATTTCGGGTGATTTTGGGGGGTTTTGGGGGGTTTTGGGTGATTTTGGGGTGATTTCGGGTGATTTCAGGTGATTTTGGGGGGTTTTGGGGTGGTTTTGGGGTGATTTGTGAATTTTAGAGATTTTGGGTGATTTTGGGGTGACTTCCAGTGATTTCGGGATTATTTTGGGGCAATTTCAGTGATCTTGGGGTGATTTCTGGTGATTTTGGGGTCATTTTTGGTGATTTCGGGTGATTTTGGGGTATTTTGGGTGATCTTGGGTGATTTTGAGGTCGGTTTGGATGATTTTGGCTGATTTTGGGGTGATTTCTGGTGATTTTGGGGTGATTTCGGGTGATTTTGGGGTGATTTCGGGTGATTTCGGGCCCCCAGCTGATGTTCTCGCACTGCACCGACCGGCGCTGGATCCTCCTGGGCCCCCCCTGCGACCCCCCCCGGGTGCTGGCCCTGCGCAGCTCCGTGCAGGTGACCCCCGAGTGACCCCTGAGTGACCCCTGAGTGACCCCTGAGTGACCCCTGAGTGACCCTGAGTGACCCCTGAGTGACCCCTGAGTGACCCCTGAGTGACCCGAGTGACCCTGAGTGACCCCTGAGTGACCCTGAGTGACCCTGAGTGACCCTGAGTGACCCTGAGTGACCCTGAGTGACCCCTGATGACCCCTGGATGACCCTGAGTGACCCCTGAGTGACCCTGAGTGACCCTGAGTGACCCTGAGTGACCCCTGAGTGACCCCTGAGTGACCCCTGAGTGACCCTGAGTGACCCCACAGTGACCCCACAGTGACCCCTGACCCCTGAGTGACCCCTGAGTGACCCCCGGGTGTCCCCAGGGCGCCATTGGCCTGCAGAGGTCCGACAGCCTCCCCCGACGCCGCGGGGGGGCCCGGCCGGGACCCCCCCAACCCCCCCGGCCCCGCTCCCACCACGGCCAGGGTGAGTGGGGGAGGGGCTGGGGGTGGGGGAGGGGCTGGGGGGGGTGGGGGAGGGGCTGGGGGGGGTCTCTGATTTGTGTCCCCGCCCCTCCCCCTTTCCCCTCCCCCACCAGGTGCGCTGGAGGTGCAGCTGGACGCGGAGTCCTACAGGTGAGGCCAGAGTGACCCCGGAGTGACCCCTGAGTGACCCTGAGTGACCCTGAGAGAGACCCCGGTGACCCTGAGTGACCCTGAGTGACCCCTGAGAGAC